AAACATGGGTGAGTCGCACTTCCATCCATTGCCTGCCGCTGAGCCTGTGCTGCCGTGAACCCATGAGGCCACCGTGGCCAGAGCCTATAGGTCCCCTAGCCTAGAACAGGTGGTGGGTCCTGGGCCCCAGGGCCAGTGTGACGGAGCCCCTGCATGGCCAGTGGCTGCAGATGCCAGGAGCAGTGGGCTCCCAGGACAAGAAGGAGGGGAATGATGGCAGTGGCAGCAGTGCCATGGAGCCACGATAGGTGATGGACTTTATACGAGAAAGCATCTTGCTGTCAGTGAAGTTTTCCTTGGACAGGTCAGAGAAGATCATCAACACAATGGATTGATAAGGTGTCTGTAGCAATGGGCTTGAGCATGTCTCAGATTGTGGGGATGGTGTAGGATAAGACAAGGACTAGATTTGTGGTTCATAGAATTGTGAGCCATAGAGAGATCTCTGTGGGCCTAGTGGATAGAAAGCTATGCTGTCAAACCAAAGGTCAGGAATTTTAATCTGCAGCCCTTGTGCAAAATTTTGATTCAAATTTTCATTCACTCTTCTAATTACTATATCACTGCTCTGTCAATTGACTATACAGAGGTGACTCGTGGTTGCTGTGAAGCTAAACACTATGACACTGAAGTGACAGATGCGAAGATGGTTGCCCATGCTGGACAGTGTCTGGTGGAACTCCCCGATTGGAACAGGCTTGGAAGCAGGAGTGACATCCACTTCTGAAATAGCTTGCCTCTTGAAACTCTATGAACTTAGGGAAATGAAGAAAGTTGTACAGGTGTTCAGGTCTTTCTTTCATAGGTTTGCTGTGAATTGTCTGAGACTTAACAACAACAACACATATCTAAGACAGCAGATCTCCTCAGTATACCACATATTTTGATTTCTTGACTACTGCTGCCAAGAACTGTGTAGACCTAGGGAGGGTCTGTTCACCACTCTCAAAGCCCCTTCTCCATTTGTAAAGGGGAAGGAAGCATAGTGATGCCTATTCGAATTGCAGGCTGACCACTTTGTGGAGGGGAGGGGGCAATGGTGGCAGCGCCAGAACTGGGGGTGCTGTCCCTGGCCATGGTCTTCAGTGAGGTACAGGGTCCAGACCTTGGAGGGGAGGCCCTTCGGTAGGGCACCTAGCCCATGGGACATGCCACCCGCCCCCCAGGGTATGTCATCCAGTCCCCAGGGAGAGTCGTCTAGTCCCTGGGGTGTGCCATCTGGCCCTCATGGAGAGCCATTCATCCTCCAGGGTGAGCCATCTGGCCCCCAGGGTGAGCCGGCCAGCCTCTGGAGTGAGCCATCCAGCCTTGGAGAGCCGTTTAGCCCCTGGGGTGAGCTGATTGGGCCCTCAGGTTGAGCTGTTCAGCCCTCGGGATGTGACATCTGACCCCAGGGAGAGCCGTTTGGCCCCTGGGGTGAGCCATTTGGCCATCATGGTGAGTCACACCTTAGGGTGTGTCGTCTGACCCCTGGGAAAAGCCTTCAGGCCACTGGGGGAAACTGCCTAGGGTATTACAAAAAGTTTTATCTAAGCCACTTTCCTCTACCTTCTCCCCCCAGTACAACTGTAAGTAACACTTCTAAAGCCCTTCTATTTGTAACTCGGAAGTTTGTTCTCTGTAGGTTTGCTCCCTTTCCTATAGGTAACCTTAACACTGGGTTTTACTCCAGATCTGAACCCTGAACCCAGTTCCAGAGATAAAAGGTAAATATAACTGCCAGCTAAAGAAGCGAAGAAGGATAGAGCCTCAGGGTTCAGCCATCCATCCCCACTGGACCCACCTTGGCAAACACTTTGCAGTCCAGAGGTCAGTAAACCTCAGGAAAATATCTTCTAACTGAACAGGAAGGCATGAAGCTTCAACCCAGGACCATCAGTAAGGTGTTAAAGTGGGCTCCCTTCCCCTTCATCTCAGTGCTCCTGTTCAGCATGAAGAAGCCAGAGAGTCTGTGCCCCATTCCCAAATGAGAAACCCACAAGTGAATTAGACAATTTCTTTGTTTACAAAAAATAACAAAAAAAACAACAAACAGTTAATCACCATTGGAATATGCTTACCATTACTCTGTCTCTTCTGGTCCTCACTGGATCTTTCTCATTTTCTTCACCTACTCCCCCTACCCACCAAATTGTGCAGCACTGTGATTTCATCCCTGCCCATCCTCACTTTTCTGCTCCCAACCCTCACCCCCTTGTTTCCTCATATATGTTTTTCACAGTAAAAAAAACCAACCAAGACCATACATGCAACTATACACATGAACTTCACCTGATGGACTACACAGGAATCAAATAGACTCCACATGTGGGAGAGTTGATGGAGCACCCCAGTATCAGTTCAAATTATTAGAGTTGAAGAAAACTGAAACATGCCCACTAGAACCACAATCTGACGTTGAGTGTAACCCAATTCAATTTAAAGACCATCTAAAGAATAGCTTTGAAAACTAATGAACAAAGACCAGGCAAGTTGAGGAATGACATCAAAGTTATCATCCATGAAGAAAGCAAAGGTCATTACAAAGACAGAAAAGACCAAAACAGATGTTAAAAGAGGCTCTAAACTTTCATTGGGGAAAAAAAAGAAGCCAAAACAAGTGGAAGGAATAGTGAAGTAAAAGATCTGAATAGAAAATTTCACAGGGCAGTTAGAGAAGACCAAGTATTATAATGAAATGTACAGGAAATTAGAGTTAGAAAACCAAAAGGAAAGGTCACATCAGCATTTCTCAAGCTGAATGAAATGAAAAACAAACTCAAGCCTCAAGTTGCAACACTGAAATATTCTGTGTGCCAAATCTTGAATGATTGAAGAAGCATCAAAAGAAGATGGAAATAATACAGGGTCACTGTTCAAAAAATTTGTCAGCACAGAACCATTTCAGGAAATAGCATATAACAAAGAACCAATAACATTGAAAGAAGTTCAAGGTGCACTGAAGGCATTAAAAAAAATAAGACTCAAGAATTGATAGAATATCAATTGAAGTGTTTCAGGAAGAAGATGCAATCTTGTGCTCACCAGTCTCTGCCAACAAATATGGCCAACAGACTGGAAGATATCCATATTTCTTCCCATTTCCATTAAGAGTGACCCAGCAAATATCATAAATTAAGGGGCAATATATAGTTAATATCATATGCAAGTAAAATTTTGGTGAATTATTTAAAAATTACTGGAACAGCACCAGAGAACCACCAGAAATTCGAACTGGATTCAGAAGAGGCCTGGCACAGGGTATCCTTGTTAATACCAGATGGATCTTGGCTGAAAGCAGAGAACACTAGAAAGTGTTTCCTTGTATTTTATTGATTTTGCAGAGACATTTGACTGTGTAAATCACACCAAATTATAATCTTCGGAATAATAAGAATCCCAGAACACTTAATTGAGTTCATGCAAAATCTGTACATAGACCAGGTAGGAGTTGTCCAAACAGAACTAGGGAATGCTACTCTGTTTTATTAAAGTCAGGAAAGGTGTGTCCTTCCTGCACACTTACTCAGTTTTAGTGCCACGCAGATTATTTGAGAAGCTGGGCTATATGACAACGAATGTAGGATCAGGATCAGAGGAAAACTTACTAACAAATTGGACTATTCCAATGATAACTTGCTTGCAGAAAGTGAAGATTTGAAGCACCTAGTGCAGAAGATCAAAGGCTACAGCCCACAAAAATGTTTACTTCTCAATATCAAGAAAACAAATCTTCACCACTGGACCAATAGACAACATCATGATGGATAGAGGAAAGACAGAAGTTGTCAACAATTTTATTTTACTTAGATCCACAATTAACACCCTTGGTAGCAGCAGTCGAGAAATCAAAAGACATGTTTTACTGGGAAAATCTGCTGTCAGAAACCTATCTAAAGTTATAAAGAGCAAAGATGTCAGTTTAAAGACAAAGTGGTGCACAATCCAAGCCTTGGTATTTTCTGTTGCTTCCTTTATGTCTGAAACTTGGACACAGAGAGAAGAATCAGTGCCATTGAGTTGAGGTGTTGGTGAAGAGTACAGAGAATCCCATGAACTTCCAAAAGAACAAAGAAGTCCGCATTGGAGGAAGTATAACAAGGGTGCTCCTTACAGCAAGGATGGTGAAACTTTGTGTCACTTACTTTCAGAAGGAACCAGTCCTTAGAGAGAGCTGTCATGCTGGGAAAAGTGGAGAGAGTCAGCGAAATAGGGAAGTTCTCAACAAGATGGATTGATGCGGTGACTGCCACAGTGGGCTTGATCATGACAGAGATCATGAAGATTGTGCAGCATAGGACAGGGTTTGACATCTAACAACAACAGCATGAGTTATTTTTTTCTCACGTTGGGAAATGTTCCTTCTTCTAGTTTGTTGAATGTTTCTGATGAAAGGATGTTGAATTTTGTCACATGCTGTTTCCACATCACTTCAGATGATCGTGTGTTTTGTATGTTGTATTGATTGAATTTCCTCTCTTGAACCATCTTTGCATTCCTAGGATAAATCTCATTTGATCCTGAATAATGGTATTAATAACCTTTTGGATCATTTTGCTAGTATTTTAATGAGAATATTTGCATATATTCTTGTCAGAATATTGGTATAGGGTTACTATGAGTCAGAGTCAACTCGATTACTATAGGACTGAGTTTTAGTTCATTTTAGTTTACATCCACACATTGATGTATAGATTTTGTGTTCTCTCTATATGCCTTAGATTTCAGGGTATTAATGGACTCATGAAATGAGTTAGGAAATACTATCTCCTCCAATTGCTTTTGGTTTTGTTTTTTTGTTTGGTTTTTTTTTAGGTGTTATGAAAAGTGTGGTGTTAATTCTGTAACTAATTGGGAAGATTTGTCAGTAAAGTCATTTGGTATTTGACTTTGTAGGAAGTTTTTTAGCTACTGATTAAGTTAATTTACCTACTAGTGATCTGTTCAGATCAAACCTGCTGTAGCTTTGCTCATTTCTTAATGCTTGTTTTGGTAACTACTTTTTTTTAATTTCTCTGTAGCGTTCTTACTGGTTTGGAGGTCCAAGAGTTAACAGGATAAAAGAAGATAACAGTACAACTAAAAGCAAGTATTTTGAGGCTGAACCTCACAATCTGGTAGCAAGCATACAAATAAGACATTTGTTCAAGGTAATGTTTCAAGGGGATTTTTTTTTGGCCTTCTGGGACTAAAAGCCACATATGTACTATACATTGGAATTGTTTTAAATAGATAATTTCAAGAAAACAAATGCAATACATAATAAAGTACAGGGGCTGAACTGAATAGAATATATGAATACACATTTCTCTTTTCAAATATTGTCTAGTTTGCTGCATAAGTTATGCATTACTTTTAAACAGACTTAGAAACAGATGGTTTTAATCTTCTGATGAATACTATAATCTTTTACCTAACTTTATAATATTTATTAAATAAAAATAAATGCTCTAGTTTTATAACAAATATCAGAAAATAAATTAGGTTGCGGAAGTAACTTTTTTTAAAAAAATTTATACTAGTTTATTCACCAGAAGTAATATTGGACAGTGAGGTTGTTTTTGTGTACTGTTGAGTCAGATCTAACCCATTGCTGGCCCCCCAAAAGGTTTTCAGAGACAGTTAACCATATGGGAGGAAATTGATCTTCCTTCTCCTGCGAAGCAGCTGATGGATTTGATTTGAACCTCATGCCTTTGGGATTGCAGTGCAGCTTCTTAACACTAGGCCACCAGAGTTCTCTAATTTGGAATTTAGGTGAATGATTCCAAATAATGCATTTGGTGAGTATGGTTGTTGTTGCTGTTAGGTGACTTAGAGTCGAGCACGACTCATAGTGACCCTAATAGAACAAAAGATTTGAACCCTGTTCTATCCTGTGCTGTCCTTAGACTTTTTGACACACAAGAGTACATTGCAGCAGTCACTTTATCAATCCACCTGATTGAAAAACTTCCTCTCCTTCACTGACTCTCCACCCTTCCCAACACCATATCCATCTCCAAGGAATAATACCTCCTAGCAACATGTCCAAAGAATGTGAGGCAAAGCCTCCTCATTCTTGCCTCCAAAGAGCACTCCAGCTGCACCATCTCCAAGACATATCTGTTCATTCTCTTGGCCATCCAAGGGATATTCAGTGCTCTTCTCTACCACCAAAGCTCAAAGGCGTCAATTCTTTTTATGTCATCCTTATTCATTGTACAGGTCTCGGATGCATAGCTAGTAATTAGAAAGACTATGACCTGAATCAGATGCACCTTGGTCCTTAAACTGACATCAGTACTGCTCAATACTTTGGAAAGGTCCCTAACTACAGATTTTCCCATTGCAGTGTGTCTCCTTATTTCTTGACTGCTCATACCAAAGGTGTTACTTGTGGATCTAAGCAAGATGAAGCTATTGACAGTTTCAGTCTCCTCTCCATTTATCATGACACTGCCTATCAGTCCAGCAGTAAAAATCTTCATTTTCCTGACATTGAGATGCAATCTATGCTGAAGGCTGCAGTCTCTGATCTTCTGCAACAAGTGCGGCGAGGGCGACGCAGCGCGAGGGCGA